ATCCCGTTGGCAAACACGTTGGCAGTTTCTCAAAAAGCTACACGTACACCAACCATATGATCCAACCATTCCATTCCTGAGGATTTACCCAAGACGAATGAAAGCATATGTCCATACAAAGACTTGTGCATAAATGTTCGTAGAAGCTTTATTTGTAATAGCCCTAAGCTGAAAACAATTTAAATGTTCATCAACAGGTGAATGGATAAACAACTGTGGTATATCCACACAATGAAATACTATTCTGTGATAAAAAGGAACGAACGATACAGACAATAGATGATACAGACAAAAGATGAATTACAAAATAATTATGCTGATTAAAAGAAGCCAGACCCCCCCCACCAAAAGAAGTATATAATATGTGATGAACATAAAATTCTAGAAAACATAAACTAACATATAGTGACAGAAAGTAGATTAGTGGTGGCCTGGGAATGTGGGAAGTGCAGGAAGGAGGGAACACGAGGAATCCCTCCACGAGTAAATTTCTGGGAGTGATGAATATGTTCATTATCTTGATTATGGTGATGGCTTCATGGCAGTTTGTACTGATAAAGTAAACAAAGAACACTTCCAATGATAGATCAAGTATGGTCATGTAAGTCATATAAGTCATCTGAAGTACATTCCCTGATTACAATGGAATTAAAATAGATATCAATAATAAAAAGATCTCTGAAAAATCTCCAAAACTTTGGAAACTAAACAACACACTTCTAAATAACCCATGGGCCAAGGAAAATATCATAAGGGAATATAGATAGTATTTTGAACTGATTGAAAATGAAAATACAACATATTAATAACGGGGGATGCCAAAACAGTAGTTAGGGAGTAATATTACATAGCACCAAACACCTACATTAGAAAAGAAGGAAGGCCTCGACTCAATGACTTCCACTTTCACCTTAAGAAACTAGAAAAAGAAAAGCAAATTAAACCCAAAATATATAGGAGATAGCCAATAATAAAGATGAGAGCAGAAATCAATGAAATAGAAGACAGAAAAATAAGAGAGGGAGAGAGAGACTTACTGACTCCAGGCTCAGGTAGCTTAATTGGTAAATTCTGCCAAACGTTTAATGAAGAAATAATTCCAATTCCAGATAAACTCTTCCAGAAAGTTGGGAGAGGGGAGGAAGTACTTCTCAATTCATTCTATGAGGCCAGAATTACCAAAACCAGATAAAGACATCATAAGAAAGAAAAACTACAGACCAATATTCCTCAAAAATTCTTAAGAAAATTTTAGCAAATTGAATTCAACAATATAGGAAAAGGAAACTACATCATGACCATGTGAGGTTTACCTCAGGAATGCAGGGCTAGTTTAACTTTTGAAAATTATCAATGTAATTCATCATATTAATAAACTTAAAAAGGAAAAACACATACGATCATTTCAAAAGGTGCAGAAAAAGCTTTCGACAAAATCTAACACTGATTTTTGAATAGAAGGAAACTTCTTCAACCTGATAAAGGGCTCTGCAAAAACTTACAACTAATATCATACTTAATGGTGAAAGACTAAATGCTTTCTCTCTAAGATCAGGAACAAAACAGGGATGTCCATTCTCAGTGATGTTTGTAGTGTTCTACAAAACTACAGATAGAACTGGTATCTAAAATATATTAAAAACTTTCAAAACTCAATAATAAGAAAATAAACACCACTTTCTTTGACATTCTGGAGGTTCTAAACAGTGTAATCAAGTAGAAAAAAAAAGTCATCCAGATTGGAAAAGAAGTAAAACTCTCTTTGTTTGCAGAT